CCATAACATACATGTTTACAGTGCATAATAATTACATCCACCATGGAAAGTTGATAAATGTACATAACTATTCAGTTTTAAAACAAATTTCTTGCATGTTCAAGTGGTATAACTTCAAGTTATATATACAGCTGCTATGGAAATCAATGTGGAGACCCCTCAAAAAACTTAAACTAGAAATTCTGTTTGACCCAGCTATTCCCATCAGGATCTTCCTGAGAGTTAAAGACATGTTACAGCAATACATTTATACCCATGTTTGTATCAGCACAACTGATAATAAGTAGATTTTGGAAGTGGCCTGTATGTCTGTCAGCAGATGGATAGGTAAGGAAAATGTGGTATGGAGTACCACAACGATTGTTAAACTTGAGTCATTTGTAGGAAAATGGATGTACCTTGAGACCATAATGTTGAGTGAAATAAATCAAGCACACAAGCATAAATATTGCATGGTTTCTGTTATATGAGAAATCCAAAGTATAAATAAAGAACAAAAGATAGAGAATAGCAAGTAAAGAAATAGATCTTTCTCAGATGGGATCTAGACAAGGAGGGAGAGGGATGGAGGGGAAAGAAAGGAAGGATAGGGGATGAAAAAACTGATTGAGATGTGTTATGTACCAGTACCAACTCCTCACAAGGAATATAAATATGATCTATAGTATGTACCGAAGATATGTACAGAAAAACAAAAGGAGCGGGATCAAGAGGTAGGTGGAGAGAGTAGAAAGGAGAAGAACAGGGAATTTAAAAAGAAGGTGTGAAGAAAAAAAGGTGTGTTATGTACATGTTACAGTTTCTATCTAGATATTCTCCCTAAAGCCTCTTGTGCTCATAGATAGAGCCTGTCAGAAGTGTCTACATCTAGGGTATGTGAACGTGGATTGAGGGTGTGATAACTGGATTAGTCCACTGATAGGTTAACATTGTTCTGGGTGTTGATAGTGGAAAAGCCCACCTGGGTGTGGGTGACACCAACTATTAGGCTTTGTGATACTTAACTGATTGAGTAAGAAGCACCCAACTAATTGGATCAGCATAGTTCCCTTCCCCTGAAGGGATCTACTGAAAACAGAAGACCCAAGTTGGGTGTGGCACCGACCAGTAGACTTGCTGCTGGAATAGAATAAAAGGGAAATGAAGAAGGAAGGCTTGCCTCTGTTTCTTCGAACGAGCTCCGGTCTTTACCTTTGCCTTGGGTGGCTTCTCTTGGCTTCCATTGCAGAGCCTTCAGTATTCTAGAGTGGACTCTTTCACCTCTTAATATGGACTCGCTGGATGCACCACATTGAGCTCCAGGCTTTTCACTAGATCCTGGGGTCTGCAGCACACAGACAGCCCTTTTGCACTCTTCCACAGCTGACTGTGTGGGTGCCATTATAAGCCTATCTTGTAAATCCTTATATATTTGTATATCTTGCTAAACTGTGAGCTAAAATAAACCTTTCCTCCTTTAACTTTTGGTGTTGGGTATTTTGTCCCAGCAACAAGAAATAACTGGAACAGATTTTGGTGCCAGAGAAGTGTGGTCATTGCTATGACACTGCCTGACCATGTGGTACAGAATCCCTTGGAACTGGCTTGTGGGAAGAGTTCAGAAAGCTTTGCAGATGCCAGCTGATGAAGGAGCCTTGGAATGCTATAAGTTGAACTTAATAGGAGATTCTGGTCGGAGCTCAAAAGACCAGAATGCTGATATAAATACAGCTGGTAAAGACCAGCCTCAGGAGGTTTCTGTTGGAAGGAGGACTACACTGGCAGTTGGACTCCAGACCAAAAGTGTTATGCTTCGGCAGAAAATTTGTTTACTTTTTGCCCATGTCCAGAGATTTTGCAGGAGACAGATTCAGCATGGTAGACTAATTAATCTCATCGAAGACATTTTAGGCAATCTAATGTTGAGGCAGTGGCATGGCTATTCTTGGGGGGATTTTACCCAGATTTATGTGGAGAATCAAGAGCAAAGGATCCAGCAAAATGATGTTAAAGGTTTCTGCCAGAAGGATGCTCTAATAAAGTTAGAGTCTTCAAAGAATAAGCACACAACTTGGTCACTGAAAAGGAACAAGACAGTAGATAAGATGGCCTGAAGCCATCACAAGAAACAAGAAGACTTCACTCTTTGCAACCTCAAAATTACAGAGGGTGAAAAATTTTGCTTTGAGAAGACAGCCCCAGAGCACTATATTCCAGAATGGCAGTGGCCTAGGGAATTTATTCTTGGACACTGGCTTCATAGTACTCAGCAGCCCAGGCACTTGATCCCTATAGCCAAGAGAGAAGGAAGACTAGCTTCTCCCCCAGCTAGGGGGAAACCTTGGCATCATCCACATGGTGCTGGTTTTAGGCGCATGCAGAACACAAGAGTTGTGGGGTCAGGGAGCCTTCCACTCAAAAGAAGGCCTAAGAGGCCAAGCAATGTGCCCCTGAGAGGGCAGTGTGTGGAGCTAGGAGTCTGAAGCTGAAGTACAGTGGAGACCTCAGAACCTTGACGAAGCCAGGTATGGGGAGTGTCTGAGGAAAGCTACAAGCAGTGAGCAAAGCCAGCCGAAGAGAAAAGCCATGAGAGCTAAAACTACCAGCAGTGCCATAGGGGTGCAAAGCCCCTATGAACTCAAGCCCTTTGGAGTTCGTATCTTGCTGCTGATTGGCTTGGATGCGGGACATGAATCTACAGGATTTGTTTGTCCTCCTGGATTTTTGACTTAGCTTTGGTCCCATTCCTTTCTGGTATGCTATTTTTACCTTTTGGAATAGACACGATTATCTTGTGCCATTGTATATTGGAAGTATTTTGTTCTTCGTTTTTACAGGGTCTTATAGCTAAGAGCTCGCCTTAAATCTCAGAGACTTCGAACTTAGTCTTTTCAGCAACAGTGCAGCTGTTAAGACTTTGACAACTCTTAGAGATGGACTAAATACCTTTTGCATAAAGGGATGCATGAATCTTTTGGGGCCCAGAGCCAGAATGTTATGTCTTATATCTAGATGTCCCTGCAAAGCCTCATGTGCTTATAGATACAGCTCTTTGGAGCTCCCTGGAAGTAGAGTGTGTGACTGTGGATTAAGGGTGCAGTAATTGGACTAGTCTACTGATCAGTTAGCATTGTTTTGGAGTATAATGGGGAGCCCCACCCTGAGTGTGGGAGTCATCGACTATTAAACTTGTAACTTGAATGAAATAAAAGGGAAAGTTGGAAGGCAGACTGTGTCTTCTGCCATGCTGTCTTGCTTTGGAGCCAGCTATGGCCTGAAACCTCTATAAACTGTGAAAAAGAAATAAACCTTTCCTAGTGTAACTTTGAATGTCAGCAACAAGAAAGTAAGACAGTACATGTCCGAACTATCCACAAGGGATGTAAACATTATGTAATACAAATATGCACTAATAGCTGGGTATGGGGGCATATGTCCGTAATCCCAGCACTCACTGCGGAGGCTGAGGCAGGAGGATTGCTGAGTTAGAGGCCAGCCTGGGCTACATAGCAAGACCCTGTCTCCCTTCCACCCCAAAAAATTAATTAATTAGTTAACTTTAAAAAAATGTACTAATAAAAAAAATCAGAACTTCTCCATTATGGAGCTTTTTGGTTTTCTTTTTGATTTATCTGTCTGGCTAGAAAGTACCTTGAGTAATTTGTACCCTCAGCCAAATAGCTATGAGAGTAGTGTACATATTTTCACATCTAGAAATGAATTTTGCCCTATTGCATCTAGAACTCTGTTAATAAGCCTGTTTTCTTTTAGCAGAAAGTAGAAAAAGGAGGTTATCTGGATATTTGTAACTTGCATACGTCCAACAATTTTTTCTTATTTTAAATTTCACAAAATAGTATTTCAGTAGTGATTTCTTATTTTTTGTTGGTTTTTATGATTCTTATTCATGCAGACTGTAGTCTTCCTGCATGTTGTCTTTTACTGTAACTGCTTTTTCATTTGTTTTAGTATCTTTTACATCAGTCATCTGTTCACTAATTTTGATTGTTTTCTGTCTTCAATATCTGTTATCTTTTTTGTTCTTTATTGGTCTTTATTCTCTGGTTCTCAGAGCTTATACTGATGTTTTTCCCCATTCTTCAGTGTATTTATTTCATTGCAAAGTTTTAATGTTATTGCTGTCTTTCAGACAGGATCTTTCAATCTTTGTTTTCTCATCTCATAATTATTTCTCATCTCATACTATAAAGATTGTGCATATAATTTTCTCTGAATTTTGTTTGAAGTCTTCTTTTTCTGTTAACTATTACCTGCCCCCCATAGTATTCAAGTGGTTATCCTCCTTTATTAACTATTTCGAAAAGGTGGTTGTCAAGACCTGAGTTTCCATGTGGAAATATCATCTTTGTTATGTGTACAAAGTACATTATTTTTGTAGTTGAAAAAATATAATCTTTTCATTAGTATACTCATTATGCTACAAGGTGTTAATTATGCATCCAAATGGATATAATATGAGAGAGCTAACTGGGAGTGAATTTTAAGGTATAGTTCAACTCAGTAAGAAAAGCACTGTGATAGAAACAAAGTCTTTGATCAGACAGCCTGTTTGAGATAGATGAACACTTGTGGAAATCTGTGCTTTACTTGGTGAAAATTTCTGAATGTAACGGATGAGTAAGTAGTATTTATAGCAATAACTGTGAACCTTCTGGTGTTCACAGATCGATCAATGAAAAGGTAAAGGATGGTGAGTTAGATTTTGAAGGCATTGAGTTTTTATGATACGATCTTACTATTAAGCTACATGGTTTCTTTTGATTTGTGGTATTTTAAAAATGTACTTGGAAGAACAGTATCTATAAAAATAAGTTTATTTAGGTTTCAAATTTGTATGTTGTGAATGCTTGTGATTTCATTTCATAAAATTATCAAAATTTTATGAAATTCTATGTTCAGAATCTAATTTTGAATAGTAATTGCTTGATGACTTCTAAATACATCTTACCTCTTAATTGTCAGTTAAATTTTTTGATCTGTAAATCAAATTTCTTGTAGATTAAATACTCACCTGTGTGAGAGACTGCATAAATCCTAAAAGACTGCAAGGTGGCAATGTCTCGGGAGCCCACCCCACCTCTGCCTGGAGATATGTCCACTGGTCCTATAGCAGAAAGCTGGTGTTACACACAGGTACATGCTATTAAAGTGCCTTCTTGAGTGTTAAAAATGGCTTCTTTAGCCTGGAGCAGTGGCACACACTTGTCATCTCAGTGCTCGGGGAGGCTGAGACTGGCGGAACACAGTTTGAGCCCAGCCTGGGCAACTTAAAAAGTAAAATAACAAGGGCTGAGAATGTAAGTGTGTGGTAGAGCAACCTGGGGTTTGATGCCCAGTACTGTTAAAAAAAATTACTTCATTACCAAAATTTTATACTGTCCTGAGAATATTACTCTGAGACATTTTGGCATAGTTATTAGAAGGATTAGAAAACTGGGGCATAGAATGTTTAAAATGTGACACATTAAAAGCATAAGAGTCATCATTATAAAAAGTGATTTTCTAAATCTCTTAGGTTAAAGTAGTAAAATTTTCCTCCATGTGGACCATTAGTAACTTCAGTTTTTGTCGAGAGGAAATGGGTGAAGTACTAAAAAGTTCAACATTTTCATCTGGTCCAAGTGACAAAATGAAATGGTAAGATTTTTGTTTATGTTAGATTTTTATTTTTCCTTTAATGTGATCCTCAGCTACTTACGATTTGTTCTTATTGTTGCCTCGGACAGGGTGGATATATTATAATTTTATATTACATTGGTAATAAGTTCTTAATAGTATGGGTGAATTGTAAATAACTGTGGGGATGTTTACAGGAGAGCTGTTTGTGATATTAACAGATGATTTTAGTATTGTGTGTCTCCTTTGTATGCGTCGAGTATTATATTCCTGCAAGTGAGCCTGTTGTTTTATTTTAGGTGCCTGAGGGTAAACCCAAAGGGATTAGATGATGAAAGTAAAGACTACTTGTCCTTGTATTTGCTTTTAGTCAGCTGCCCCAAAAGTGAAGTTCGAGCAAAATTCAAATTTTCCCTTCTGAATGCTAAAAGGGAAGAAACAAAAGCAATGGGTAAGTGAAGGAGGCTGTGTGTGACTACATGTTGTGACTTCTGTACCTTTATCTAAAAAACTTTGGGATTTTTTCCCCCCACTGAAATATGCTTAGTCCATGCTTGGCCATTGTTTATGTGGAGCTATAATTGTTCTACTAAGCCTTAGACTGCATAAGACATACAAAAGTAGGTAAAAATAAAATAAAATTAAACTGCTTCTTGTCCTAAAATGACATTTGCTTGTTGCTTAGAAAAAATAGTTGCTGTTAGGGCAAAATGCTTTGTTCATTGCCTGGCATATACATACATGTTCAAGACCTACTTTTGGCAAGCAGTAAAATCTGGAGAAGTATGTAAAGATGTAATGCACCAGTACTCTAGTACTGGGGTTTTTGAGTAGTGGACTCTACGCTAAAGGTAAATCAGCTTTTCTTAAGACTTAGGATCTATTAAATTCAGCCCAGGGTTCACATATGAATATATATTTGTGTATAGCCCAGATAAAATTCTGTTACGAGCGCTACATAATAGAAAATGTACAGTGTGCATAGAAGAAAAATACCTCTTGAATTGCTGCATTAAATTTTAAATATTTTGTAGAAGTGGATCACAGAATCAAGTAATTTTATTACAAGAAATGCTTTACAATTACACACACTTTCTAATTTATTGACAAGGTAATGCCAATTCATGTACATTTTCACATTGTCTAACAGTGAAGGTAGTACAGTACTTTGGTTAGCTTATTGGTGTTCCACCTGGATTTTACTCTTTGCATCCTAAATTACGAACAATTTTCTATTGAGGATTTTATTTATTTCTCAGTATGTTTTTGTTTTATAGTACTTTAAAAATTTGAGGGGGCTGGGGATTTAGTTCAGCGGCACAGCGCTTGCCTGGCAAGCATGAGGTTGTGAGTTTGATTCCCAGTACCGGAAAAAAACCCCAAAAAACCAAAAAAAAAAAAAAAAAGAAAGAAAGAAAGAAAAACTTAAAAAAAAGAAAAATTTGAAGCTTTTATTTCAGATATTATTATTAAAGTCCTTTTTCTTTTCTTTTCTTTTCTTTTCTTTTCTTTTCTTTTCTTTTCTTTTCTTTTCTTTTCTTTTCTTTTCTTTTCTTTTCAAGCACTGGGGATTAAACCCAAGGCTTTCACACTTAGATATACCCCTCCTCTTTATTTTTTATTTTGATATAGAATCTTGCTAAATCTTTAATACTGGGCTGGAACTTGTGATCTTCCTGCTTCAGCCTCCTGGAATGCTGGGATTACAAGCATTTGCCACCATGACCTGCTTATTTGACTTCTCTGAAAGTGTTTTGGTTTTTTTTTTAAGTTTTTATGAAAGTATCTTTTAAAGTCTTAGGAATGATAAGGACTTTTTAACTTTTTTACCAGTTCATGGATTTTTCTACAGTTTATTGAAATTTAACACAGAATTGAGTGTTTCAGGAAACAGAAAATTCAAAATAGCCGTTTTTAAAGGATGAAATAAGAATTTAGTTTTTGTTGTTGTTGTTTTTCTGGTACTGGGAATCCAACTCATGACCTTGTGCTTGCCAGGCAGGCGCTGTGCCACTGAGCTAAATCCCCATTCCCTAAGAATTTAGAATACGTTTCTAACCATGTTCTGGTTAGAAATGAATAGTATGCCTGCGGCAACATATTTTGGTCTTACCTTGTTATCTTTTAGATCCATGTTATTAAAAACCTCTTCTCTTTCCACAAGATTTTATCTGGTCTTTTTCTTCTTAAAAGATTCAGAAGTCAAAAATTGAGCTCACTGACCATGGCCAAAATATGAGTAGTGATTCAGTTCTTAGGACTATTTATTTATTTATTGGTACCAGGAATTGAACTCAGGGCCTTGAGCTTACTAAGCAGGCACTGTGCCACTGAGCTGTATCCCTGCTGATGTTTTATTTATGAACACATATATCTACAATTTTGATGATACATGTAGTTACCAAGTCCTATTTTTGTGTATTTCATGTCTCTGTATCATTAAAAAAAAATGTTTCTTAGATATCTGTTTTACTTAAACTTCTGTTTTCCACCAGAAAGCCAAAGAGCATATCGATTTGTTCAAGGGAAGGACTGGGGATTTAAAAAATTCATTCGAAGGGATTTTTTGCTTGATGAAGCTAATGGTCTTTTGCCAGATGACAAGCTTACATTATTTTGTGAGGTGAGTATATATTTTACTGTAAGAAGTTCCACGGTTATGATTAGCGATATGACAAAAATATAACTGCATTAGTTTTGGGTAATACTTTAAAAATTTAAGTTGTGTATGTAAATGTTTGATCAGAAAAAACAGACTAAATTGTCTTACAAATTGATATGGTGGCCCAGTGTGGGAAAAAATTTCATCATGTCTCTAGTTATAAATTGTACATGTAATTATTCAAAAGGCTGAATATGCATATCTTTGTAATGAGTCTTTCTAAATATCTTCCTGAATAATTGACATATAGATAATTAGTTTGTTTAGATTGATCATATTAAACATTATTACTCAAAGTTTATCAGTTTGCTTCCAAAAGTACAGGACCTGAAAAAGATTGGAAAGTCTTCTAGTTATTTAAGCAATTAAATTAATTTAACCAGATGGGTATGTTAGCATTCTAAAAAATAGATCTCAAATTTTAAATCTGTACACATAAGGTAAATTTATGTGCATAAAACATAATGTCTTCAAAGTTAATAGTATTTCTCCTGCAAATTACTTGTGACTTGTCTTAATGTGTTTGTATTTAATTTTGTAATTGTTTTCATTAAGTATTTTTATTTATATTAATTTTTGAGATTCATGTTTGGAATGAATTCAAGGATATTATGTTACCAGTACAGTTTTATTGAGATGTTTAAATCAGTTAATAATTTTTCTGAGAAAGCCACTTGAAATATGATCAAATTAACTCAACATTAAATATATTTTAACAGGTAAATGTGGACTGCAAACACAGTAACTTCCTTAAATGTTAAATTAGCTTCAATCTCTCGATGCAGTAAATGTACAAAATTTCTTGGGAAGATTACAAATTAATTGTGACTGTTATCTTTTGTCATAATGACATATGTGTCATAGTTGAAATAGGGGACCAGAGACAATATAGTACATTATTTTCACTTGAATAAAATAAATATTTGATTAATTTGCTGTAAACACAGTTATAACAGATGTAAAGCACACAGCACAAATCTCATTAAATAATTTGGAAAAAGCAAAACAAAAAGTATTTGTTGCTAATTGGCAGTTATTCCAAATAGCATTCTAAATAAACATATGTTTTACTATTTAAAAGTTTCACTAACCTTCATTTAGACTTTTTGCAGAATTTAGCAGTTATCTTAAATTCGAATGGTTAATTTGTAGGTGTTATAGTGGAATTTAATGGGTGGCCTTTTAAGGTTATTTATTCCATTTTTTTTTAATGCAGCTAAAATGTTTTTGTGAGTGAACCTCTTTAGAAAATAATAATTTTTTTAGAATTGAAGTAGTATTTCCAGACATTTTTGTAGGTGCCTTTGAACTGGAACCTAGATAACCAAGAAATTCAGAATTAAGGCTGAAATGTTTTTGACATGTATTTTTGAAGTATGGTTGGTATCCATGTGCTAGATTGTACATGCTAGTGACTCCCTTAAAGATAAAGCCTGTCTTGATATATACATTTTCTGAGTTGGCATTGATCAGGTCTATTTTTAGATCTGAAGTATCTTTTATCTTGTTACTAATTTAGACATTTATGCTCTGGGCACCATATTTATGGTAGGTGGGCAAAAAACAAATGCTTTTAAATATTTTTCATGCCCTCCATCATTTCTTCTGCCCCTCTCATGGATGCCCTTCCTTCTACAGCACCTCCAGCACTGCTTGCAGAAGAGGAGGAAGCATTGCACTGCCCTACCCAAAGAACTGCCTCCTCCCCCTCCCCTGCAAGTGGTGCTGTAGACAGGTAAGGCAGGTAGGTGCTACCCTTTTTGTGCAAGACACAGCTCCATCTTGCAAAGTCCATATGTAGTGGTTCAAGTAAAGGCAAAAAGGCAGTTGCTAGCAGCATAAACAGCTGTGCCGCCTCTCTCCCATAATAATCATGCAGAAAGTGGAATTGAGGAATAAGTAGGAAACAGATTAATAGACTACTTCACAGAAAACTGAGATTAATTCATCTTTTGAAACTTAACTTTAACATAGTCCTCATACCTATGCCATTTGTGGTATTTAGAAAAATACAAGTATACATAAAAAATGTAAGGAGCTTTTCATAAATTTAACTCATTTTTAGGAACCCATCTTTTTGCCCCGTTCTATGTTTTTTTTTTTTTTTTTGGCTAGGATATGAAATAGCCTTTCTGTTTTAAGATACTTGTGATGGGGGTAGAAGTAGGGTTTTGTTTTCTATAAAGCTCTTTCCCAGAAAATAAGTAAACTACCTTATTTCTGTAACAGGGTTTTAAAAATGATGCCTATCTATGAAAGTCAAAAACTTTCAGACCAGCTCTTCCAGATGACAGTCTTGAGATGGAATCCTAAAGATTACTCACAGTGAAGCGGGTGAGGGAGGCAGTAGAGAGTTGGTTAGAATGATAGCACTAGAGCACTGGACTCAGTAGCTTTGAGAATTCCTAGTTCTTAGAATTAGTTTGAAGAATTCAGATTTTAAAACTTAGAACCAGTACTCACCTTATTTCCACATTAGAGGAGACTAGATTTTTAGGACAGAGAGTTGATTATGATTACATCCTTCAAATGTTCAGCTTCTGTCTAAAATCTCATGATTGAGCCAAAAACAGGTGGGAAAAGATTTATCAAATGAGTTAAATCAGCAAAGAATTTCAGCCTTCTTCCTGAATTTTTTATTCTAGGTTCCATATGTAACTGTGAATTGTTTTAAGTATGTAATAGATGAAACAATGTTTATCATTTTATTAGAGGTATCAAAAAATAATGCAGAAATCATTGCATAAATAGTCCTCTAATATTCTTGGTAGTGTGAAATGTTAAGTATATTAGTTCAAACTTACGGTAGCTGTGATAGTACTGTGTAGATGAATGGGTATATCACATAAATCCTTCTGAACTGTGATTGCTTTTACCAGATACAAATATAAATCACAGATATCTGTGCCCATTAATATCTTCTTTACATGTTTTTGTTACCTAGCTTTTGCCAGATTTTTGCATTAAATACATTATTTTGAATTAGATTGAGACAATATCATGACATTTTTATAACTCTGCTGAGTACTTTATGCAAGTAATTGAAGAGATCTGGTTCCTTTTGCCTAAAGTTTTCAAGAATAATGCATAGTATGAACAAATTTTTCTTTTTGGTGCCAGGAGTTGAACTCAGGACACTGCACTTGCTAAGCAGGTGCTGTGCTGCTGAGCTGTATCCCGGGCCCAATATATGAACAAATAAATAGAGTTTCTGTGCTATGCTAAAAACTAATTGCTGACTAAACCCTGAAAATTAACACTAACAGCTTTGGAGTTTATATATTATTAATTTATAATGTGTAGTGGAATAGGGCAGTCAGGTAAAGATTAGTGAAGCAGTTTTCTGTCCTGGTTTATAATTATTAAAATTTTAGAGGCAATTTGAATGATTAAAAACTTGGTAAGACAGCTGCACCCTTATTGATGGATTTATTTTTGTACGTAATATTTTGGCCCTCATACTTAGAAAGACACCTGACAAGATTATACTAAACTTTTTCTCTTACAATCATATTACAAAGTAATATTACTGGTCTAAGTTTTCCATTTCTGATTTACACTTTCTGTAGTTTACTGTCATTATATATCTTTATTTATACTTTTTAAAAATGAATACAGCTGTGAATGGTGCATAATGCATGACCCAAAACTTAGCTTAAAACAATAGGTAATTAATATTGCACTTTTTGTATAATTTTTAAAAATAGTTTATTTACTTTGAAACACTTGCTTATTAGTTGAGGTGCTATTTTCTTTATTAATTATAATGTGGAACTTTCAATAAGATATAGTGGGAGGCCTTTTCCTAAAAGTAGGATGTTGCTGTTGATTTTCCATAAAAGATTTCAATGAATTTAATAATTAGAGTTGCTTTGTGGGAATTCTTATTTTAAAATTTAAACCAATTTTCCTAGGTCTACGTATTTAATCAGTTCTACTAGAGCTGAAACGTAGAGGAACAGCAGTTGTTAAACTTGAAATTTCCATATTTTTACACATTTTTACTTGTAAGTCATTGCATATATAGTGAAATTTAAATATTAATGGGTCTAAAATGAAAAAATAAAAAATTTCTTCTTCCACCTCATAAAAATGCCATCTTCTTGTTCAGATTTTTTCACTTTCCTTGTTTTTATTTTTGTTAGTCCCTTATTCATATTTAATACCTTATTATGACTTTTCTGTTGAGAAATAGTTTTTGTAATTATAATAATTAAATTTTCCAACCAGTTGGTAAGCCATTAACCTAAAATGTCACTATGAAAAAGATCTCATTTTCTAGTTTTTTTTTTATTTTAAAGAGAATAGTAAAAAAAGAACGATAGCAAAAACAAAACAAAGCAAGGACATTAAAAATGGTATGTGGTTTCAAACAAATAATAGGGATTAACAGTGGTTGTTATATTACATATTGTTGTCTTCAACGAAGTTACTCAGATTACCAGATACGAGAGTGCTATATTACATCTGTTATGTAATTATATTCTTAAATTCTCAGCATTAGGATTTTTGACCAGGAATACATTCATTTTAAATGATTTTAAAAATACAGAAGGTAGGGGCTGGGGATTTAGCTCAGCGGCAAAAGCGCCTGCCTGGCAAGCGCAAGGTCGTGAGTTCGGTTCCCAGTACCAGAGAAAAACCAAAAAAAAAAAAAAAAATACAGAAGGTAAGAATGCATATAATAACTGTTAATTTGTCAAAGTTTTTCTTGCTCTCTCTTGTTTATTAGGTGAGCGTGGTTCAAGATTCAGTAAATGTATCAGGATATACTAATACAAATACTTTAAAGGTGCCTGAATGTCGACTCGCAGAAGATTTAGGTACTATGTGGGAAAACACAAGATTTACAGATTGCAGTTTTTTTGTGAGAGGACAAGAATTTAAAGCTCATAAATCTGTGCTTGCAGGTACTTTTTCTACTTTGGAGTAATACAGTGTGTTCTTAAAACAAATTTATGTGTTACGTAATGATATTTAATCTTGTTTCAGCACGATCCCCAGTTTTTAATGCAATGTTTGAACATGAAATGGAAGAAAGCAAAAAGGTAAATATAGTTTAAAGGTTTAATAATTAATTTGCACACATGTAAAATAGTAGGATGTGTATTTTAAAAGTAAGAATGCCATGTTCTCCTTCTTTCCCTATGATAAGGAGGGAAGCTTTTTTTTCATTGGTACATTTTAGATAGATGTAGTAACATTCATCATAGGGAATTTGTCCCTGTGCGTGATGTATCTTCCTACTTGTTTTTTCCCCATTCCCCTCCCATCTCTTCAACCCCTCTTCCCCTCCTTATTTACAAAAGCTGTTTCTGTTTTTTCCTTCTATTCTCTTTCTTTTCCTTCTCCCGTCTTTCTTTCCCCCACCTCCCTTGTTCCCCTTCTCATTTGAACATATTCTTCCCATTTCTCAATGTCTGTTATACATTTTGGTCCTTATTTATACTTTTGGTTTCTCACACCAGAGAAACAATGTGGAATTTACACATGTGTGTCCAGTTTGTTTCACTTTAAGAGTGTGGTCTCAAGCATCCATTTAGCTTTAAAAAGAGAAACCTTTGAGAAACAGAAAAATGGGAAAAAATGTAGTGTATGTCTGTGTGGAGGCTCAGTGAATATTCCCAGTAATAGCTCTTTTGATACATTCATCTGGTAGCCAAATAAGTGAGTAGTAGTTGTTATCCTAAAGACTTCTCAGGGACTGCAGATACAGCTCAGTAGTAGAGCATGTTCCTAGCATGCACAAGACTTTATGTTTGATCTCCAGCACTGAAAAAAAAGTCCTCTGGTCCATAGCTATTTGAGACGTCTTTGGTGAAGATATATCTTTCTCTTTCTAGATTTGTGGATTAACTTTAGAATGTTTTTCTAACAATAATAGACACTATATTGTTTTCATCGCCAAATAAGAGGCTGTTAATTCATTTTAACAAGGACATAGATTATATCTGTGTTACTACATACTAACCATAATGAAGATACTACATATCTGTCTCCTCTAAGCATTACTCTTTGCCTGGCACTTTAAAATGTTTTCTGGTTGCATCACATGTGAGCCTTAAGGCTCCCACAGGACAACTCCCGAATTTTTTTATATATTCTAGCTTTATTCTTTCTGTAGAACTATTTGCCTCCATAAAACACCTCTTTTCCTTCATGTCACGAATGGCCTACAGAGGTCATCTGATTCCCTTCAAAGGAGGGCATAGCAGTAATGTCAGGTGTTATTAACGCAAGCGGTCTAAAGATTTGGTGGCGCTTAGTGTTAGATATGTAGCTGCTTCTTTGATCTCAAAAGAGAAGTAGACTACCAATAGATGCAGGAGTAAAAATGTAATTAGTGCTCTTGGACGTGAGTATGTCTCAGGAAAGTGAGGGAGTGCAGTAGATAGTATAACATCACTTTTGCAAAAGTTTCTGAGATGTGTGGGCCTCGATTCAGTTAACCCACTAGCCACACTTGTGCTTCACACTGGAAGTGGAGTTGCTGGTTATAGCCTCTTGCACACTGAGGAACTAGAAACTCAGCAAGGCAAATGTAGCCGTCATGCTGTAAAGGCTGAGGTCGAAAACTGAGCTCCGATGTATTTTGTTTTTCCTACAGATTTTTATTTAGTCTTTAGTTATTGAGAAATTGGGGCTTCTATTCCTACATGGTTGTGGTTGGCTTTGTCTGTTTTGTAGTGTGGGGTTTTCAGTTGGTCTTGGTTCCCACTTAGACGGTGTGTGCTTTTCCTCTTCAGCTTACCTGCTTTAGTTTGGCTGGTGAGGTTAGTGAAGATTTACTTCACTCAGTTTTACATTAGAAAGTTTATTTATTTGAGTGGTAAAGTATGTTAGTGTAGATTTGGGGTTTTTAAATTACTGTCAAAGACTCACGTTGGCTCATTTACATGTGTATATGTATATATTCTTTAACTTCACTTTTTTGTGTTGTTTTCAATATCAGAATCGAGTGGAAATAAACGATTTAGACCCTGAGGTTTTTAAAGAAATGATGAGATTCGTTTACACAGGGAGAGCACCAGATCTTGATAAAATGGCTCACAACTTGTTGGCAGCTGCAGACAAAGTAAGTAATTAGGTTGTAAGGAGTTGGAAAATACCCTCCAGCTTGATGTGTATAGAAAGCTATCATCATCAGATAAAGACTACAAACAATTTGAAATATTAAATTAATGTATACTGCTTATTGAGGGCTTTTCAGAGTTTTGTGAGATAGCATATAATGTGATAGTATAGAAATTATATTGCTTAAGAAGTTAACAAGATATAATAATATCTGTAGGAAGAGTTGATTTTTTTTATGAGAGATTAAACTGTAAACCCAATATTTTTAAATGTCCTTTTTCAGAAATATACAACACAATATAAAATTTATTATAGTTGTCAGATATTTTTAGCCTTAAGACACAGTGCATACCCTTTGTGTTTTTAGGAAAAAATACATAATTCTCTGTATTCATAGATTTATATTTAATGTGACAGCACAGAAAATGAGAATGTTAACAACTTTATAATGTTCTGTTACAGTGGTGATTTCTTGAAGGTAGGGAAGCTGCAAAAATATCAGAAAATCTTAGAGTCAGTGATTCCAAACCTGAAAAGCACATTTAATGTATATGTAACGTTTATAGTCAGACTATATAAAGAATTCTCAGAACTCAATTATAAAAATGCAGTGGTTTGGCAAAAAGTATATTAAATGTTTGAATAGCCACTTCCTAAAATGAAATCAGTGCATTGAAAGATGCCTGGCATCATTGTAAATTAAAATCAGTCTATTATTTATCATTAATAATGTACATCTATTAATAATGATTAAAATTATAAAATTATACTGAGAGTTATTATCAAGAATATGGAAGAATTAGCACCTTCAGATACTGCTGGTGGGACTATAAAATGGTACAGACCCTTTGAAAACCAGCGGTTTCTTTGTTTTTTTTTTTAACTAGCAGTTTCTTATAAAGTCAAATTTAAACTTACTATATGATCCAGTGGGGCCAATTATATGTTTTTACCCAAGAAAAAGAAAGCATCTGTTGTATAAGACTTGTGTATGAATGTAGCAGCTTTCGTAATAGCTAAGAATTAGAAATAACCCAAATGTTCAACAAGTGAATGGCTAAACAAATTCTGTTATTTCTGTATGTCATAAAATGCTCCCCAGTGAGAGTTGGATTGCCACCATACAGGCAATGAGAGGTGCAAATCTGAAAATACACTGAGTGCGAGAGCCATACAGAAATGAGTACATACTGCTTCATTTCATTTATGGAAAACTTGGGAAAATACAAACTACTCTAGAGTGATAGAAGGCATACAGAGGAAGGAATGACAAAGGAGATATGGGGAAATTTGGGGATTATGGGTGTATTCCCTGTCTTGGAGAAGTGATGGTTTGGTGGCTGTATAACATTTATCAAAGTATAAATGTTACAGCCTTCTTATGTATGTCAGTTATACTTTAGTAAAGCTACTAAATATAGTAGTTACAATAAATGTTATTGGCTGTATTTTTCTTTCGAATAGTATGCACTGGAGCGGCTGAAGGTCATGTGTGAAGAAGCTTTGTGTAGTAACCTCTCGGTAGAAAATGTTGCCGATACCCTTGTCCTTGCAGATTTGCACAGTGCAGAACAGTTGAAAGCACAAGCCATAGACTTTATTAATAGGTAAGCAAGGGTTGTATTTCACTGGGCATGACACCTTCAACGTTTTTGATCCGGAATTTTTTTTAAGTGTCTTTAAATCTTCAATGCAGGTGCAGTGTACTTCGACAACTTGGGTGTAAAGATGGGAAAAACTGGAACAGCAAGTAAGATTATATCAGTTTCTGATCTGCATAAATGAAATTGTTTGCATAGCCTTTTGTTCATCTACAATAAGTATGAATCCAGATATTAGTTATATGAAGTAAACTGCTAGTTACTGGAAAAATAGATAATTTTGACTATTTAGTGGATTCGTGAGGCTATGCTCTCTTGTAGATCAGCTTCTAATGCAAACTGGGGTGAATGATCTAATTTCGTAAGAAACGGTATATAGCTGAGTCAAAAGTACTAGCTGCTAGAGATCCAATCTGGCCCCTTCAGAAAGCATTCCTTTAAATACAAGAAATACTTACTTAATCCAGTGGGAAGTGTACCCTCTAGATTTGCTTTGACAGTTTTTATTTTTGATTGTTAACTCATTGGTGCTTAAGTTCGCCAGGTACCTTGTATTACATGGTATTTTAGGCTAAGCTGCCTAATACTCCAGAAATGGCAACAATTTGATTTTTTTTTCCCTAGTAAACTTACAAGGGGTTAGATGGTTTCTGTATCCTTTGAAGCCTAAATCTTTAAATATTAGAACTTAATATTTTCTACTTTTTCTATTACGTGAGTTTTAGAGTGACTTTTGTGTTCTTTGTAATTATTTGACATCAGTGGAAAAAAATTGATGGGTTGAAGATTATATGTCTGGTCTTGATTAGTTTTACCTATAAATCCTTGACTTATAAGTGAAGTGTTAAACGCAATAAAATTATTTTATGTAGTCAGTGCATTACAATATGTCATAGTGTGATCTGATGAAAAAATGTATTGTACTAATAAAAGATAACAATTTTATGGTTCTTTTTACTTAGCCATTTTCAAGCTTTGGTTTTATTCTATTAAGAAAATACATTATATAACTTTTTCAGTGTCAGTGAATATTAACCTATTTAATTTCTCCTGGAAAAGTGTGTCACATATGCACACCTTCAATAGATATTTACAGAATTGATAAGCAGAAAGGTTAAATATAATAAGCAGTATTTGATTCTAAACAACTACTGATACTTGAAAATTTTAAACACGACACACTGGCAATTTGATATTCAGCAAGTAAAAAGTTATTTTCTTGATATCAACTTGTATTTAGCTCAACACATATTAACCTAGCATTTACCATGTCCTAAGCACTATACTAAGGTGCATTATTTAAAAAGACATGTGAAGGAAAATCTTTCTTCTTGAGAAATATATCTAATGGAAATATATGAATATATAATTTCATTATAATACGGTAAGTAATATGATCAACATAGATATGTACAGGTCTTTTTCTCTGTGCTTAAAGATTTAGAGATGGCTTTTCGGGAGGTGATGGAGCTGAGGTCCCCCTTGCCGTAATCCTGGGGACTGAACCCAGGGCCTTCACAGTGAGCAATATCCCCAGCCCCTTTTTTTTCATACTTTATTTTGAGACAAGGTCTTGCTAGGTTGTGCTGCTTAAGTTTCAGTTTGTCCTGGAATTATAGGTATGTACCATCACACCCAGCTGAACTGACTGTTACAACATATGTTAGTCAGCAAGCTAAGGAAGAAATAGTAGACATTACAGACAGAAAGGATAGCATGACAGAAGGATAGTATTCAAACATGAAACAGTGGTTAATTATTCGATTGACAGATTCTTAAACTTTATTATCCAATAAGTTCCCAAGGCATTGTGCTTTGTACAGAGAAGATAATGATGAACATAACAGGTGTTTTTCTTCAAGGAGTTAAGGTTTATAGCACATTAATTAAACAGGTAATTGCAATGACGTATGATAATAAAGAATGTATTCCAATAGCAGCATGTACCAAAGGGACCTAATCTTGTTTATGGTTAAGAAAAAGCCATTACAAAGAATTGTAAAAATATAGGCCTTAAACATTGCTCGAAGTTGATTTGGTGAAGAAGAGAGGAGGGAAAATGTATCCCCCTAGAAGAGAGAGAGCAGTAGTGCTTGAGTGAGCGTGTGTGTGTGTGTGTGTGTGTGTGTGTGTGTGAGAGAGAGAGAGAGAGAGAGAGAGAGAGAGAGAGAGTATGAAGTGGGTAGGTAATTGGAAGAAGCTGGAAAAAGTAGACAGAGGTCAGACCCTGCAAAGCCATGAAACATTAGGACTTTATATTCAAACAGTGAGAAGTAATAAGCATCCAATAAACAGTCACCTGGAATGAGCATGCTCATGTTTGCATTTTTAAAGGTCTCTCTGCCTGCAAGTTAGAGACTGGATTATGGGGAAGGTGGACTGGTGGTGGTAACTGAGGAACAAGGTTAGATATAGGTTGACCATTTGGAATGTTAGCAGAGTAGTTCAGGCAAGAAATGAGGAGACTTGATTTGTGACAGACTAGAAATAAATGAAAAAAGTATATAAGAAATAAGGAAGGACTCTATAAATTTGGATATTATTTGGAAATAGAGCGGTAAAGGGAGGACAAGAAAAGAGGAAATGGAAGGTAAGCAGACTTGTTGCTTGCTTGGGCAGCTGTGTACTGTGATTGCTCAGTGGTATCATGTTATACATAGGGGACAATAAACAGCTGAGGACCTGAGTATACACAGTTAGAGCATAAGGAAAGTGGAAGTGGAAGGCTCCAGAAAGATAGTTGGGCACCCACAATAAGGAACCGTGTTTTTCCTTCTAAAACCTTAGATGTGGGCAAAGAGGAGCAATAGAAGAGAGCTTGATGCAGTCCTGTGTATGCCGTTACGACAGCATTGTGAGTGATCAGAGTCTTAACTAGAGATTCATGACATCTCCACAAATTAAAACAAGACTTTTTGACAGTTGACTAGGACAGACTGGGAGTACCCCTAGGCTTTCTCACCTGAATCACTGGGTGGAAGCAGAAACTGGGAAAGAGGAAGAATTTGGGGTTTAAGGAATGAGATGCTAAGTTCTTATCTGACAATCAGGAATTTGTGGGCTTTAAGGCACATTCAAGTTAAAAGAACAAGTGACTGAGAATAAACCTTGTGGGGAGGCCTAGGATTTAGCACATCATTAGTTATCATCATTGAATATGATCATTAAAATTTGAAGAGTGGATGGATAAAATGAATAATGTGTGTTAAAGGAGAAGAGAAGAGGGCAGAAGGTGACCTCTAGAGCACACATGCTTATAAGAGGGAGGTGTAAAAAGAACCAGAGACCCTTCAAAGAGCTGGTACCGAAATGGTTACAATGAGAGCAGAATTATAGACACTAATGCCCTATACGTACAGGAGTTTCTCTCCCAGAAATATTTGAGTTTCAGTTTTAATAGAAAATACCAGTAAGATAAATGTGATATTTTAATAAACTCAAATGACTTAAATAGATATATTGTTCAGACAGTTCTAAATATACAAATTTAAAAAATATATTGACAAAAAAGAATGCAGTTTGTAAATTCCTTTTAGTAAACGTCCCTTCATTTTCTTTTTCAGCCAAGCCACTGACATCATGGAAACACCAGGGTGGAAGTCCATGATTCAGTCCCACCCCCACTTAGTAGCAGAAGCCTTCCGAGCACTAGCGTCTGCGCAGTGTCCACAGTTTGGCATTCCACGCAAACGGCTAAAGCAGTCCTGAAATCTTCCATGAACAGTAGAAAAAAAATGGAATTGACTTTTCAGGTCCAGAAGGATTCTAATATACAAACCATAAGCCAGAGTTGTTTCTGTTTTCTTGTCTGCAAAACAGAAGCTGAAAAGGCATATTGCTTGCATTTCAGGTGGATAATTTATGGTTTATACTTCAGCTTTAAATTAGACTGATTAATTCACTTCAAGGCCTTAAATTATCTTCAGTGACTTCTCTTGTTCATATAATACTTTAATTTTTTTATTGTGCCTTGTCATTTTGACCAAGGCTATGCAGGATTGCACTGGCTCCATAATGCAGTAATATTGATAACTGAAGATAATAAATTTCAAAAGGATCTTCCATTATTTTGAGAAAGGAAAAATGAATTTTATATGACTTGTCCTATGTTATCTCAAAATTTAAAACTAAGTTCTCCTTAAAAGCACTTGTATTGAAGATTACCAGTAATGTTTCCAGTCTAAGTTCTGTAAATATAGGAGAACCTGCTTACCTTAAAGGTAAGTTATGGCAATACACTGCTTCAATTCTAATTTATTTTTCATTTCAAGGGGCAAATATGCAATGAGTTGGCCGAAATTATACTAAAATTTGTGATGTTTGTTTGTGTGTTAGCTGTCCAAGAAACTGGGTTTATCCAAGTTTACAGTGATGGAGAAATGACTGAGGTTATTAAGATTTCAATAAGAAAGCATGTTTTGTGCAGAAGTAATTTTTTAATTTATAATTATCTACATTTATATGAAGAATTCTGTACATGTTAAAAGTAAGGTTGACCAAATGTAAATGTAATGAGTGGGCCAAGTAAGAAAAATATATATGCACTTTTAATGTGTAACTTTTCTATGCTGAATGGTACATATATTTTTTTTGCTTTTGAGGGGATTGATAATGTATAATTCTGTTTTAACTTTTGAAAGAATTTTTTTTAAGACGGAGGGAGGCAACTAGAATGATTGTGATAATTGATAAGAAAGAGATCTTTGATTATAGGTAAATTGGTTTCGATTTCAGATATTCCTTATTGAATTTATTCCTCTTTTATCATACTTTGGAAAAAGTACCTGAACAGTAAATGAATCCTGGACAGTCTGCCCTCCTTCAAACAGTGAACAAAGATTATTTGCCCATGGGAGATGCATAGTAAAGGAGAGAACACTTAGAACCCAAAGGGTCCGTCTACACTTGGGACTGTCGAAGCCTGTCAGTCCAAGCTTTGTTTTCCCATTACTTTCTCCTTTGTATTTCACCCACTGTACTGACATTGTGGATTATTGAAATTCTGCATAATGTGAACAGGATAAACTATTTATAAACTGCTTTTCATGGGCCAGTTCTTTATTGTAAGTGAACTTTAGCTTTAAACACACAGAAGTGTTCACTGATAGTCATGAGGTTTGTTCTGGGGCCTTGTCCTGGAGAAGCAGATGTGATCTGTGTCAGAGCCACGTCTGACCTCCTGTCACAGTGACAGTGTGCTTCTTAGGCAAGTTTTATATTTGACCACAAAGGGAAAAGTGTGTCACTGGAAAAAAATGTGCAGACTTGCGTCTTTGCATATATAACTTTATTCTCCATAGTAAAATCTGTTTATTTAGTTTTTCATTCAGGACAAAGAAAAACGATAAAACTTAAGGGTATAAAATAGGTGTTATTTTGCTCTTTGTTAGATGTTAACTAAAGTGATCCTAATGTATTAAGAACGATTCATATTTACATTGAACAAACACTGTCCAGTAAGCATTTATTATTCACAACAAATTAGAGTTTTAGAAAGATCATATTTTCAATTATCTTAGTTTAATCGAGCCTTTGCTCTGTAACTTACATTTAAAATTTGAAAAATCACTTAGGATAGAAGAAAGATTCTCACCTAGTAATGGATTTTATCCTGTGTAAGAATATAATGGCAAGAAGAAATTCACTTTCTCAGTTTCACCTTAAGATTAAGCCTGTTTAATGTACAATTTTATTTGTTCATTAGTGTTTTTTGAGATAGGGTCTTGCTGTGTAATCCGGGCTGGCCTTGAAGTCACTATGTAGCCCAAGCTGGCCTCAGACTTGCAGTGATGATTCTGTCTCAGTCTCCCTTTTGCCAGGATTACAGGCATGTGCCACCACACTTGCTATGATGTACAGTTTTAAAAATACACGTGTGTACTTTTAATTTAAGATTTTGCCAGGATCTTATTTATAAGAAAACAAAAATTCTGTCTAGCTATAGAATTATGTTATCACATATTAAAAAATGTTGTATCCATTTATATCAAATACACACCATGCCAGTACATTGTAAATTAATTCACAGATTCAGTCTACACTCTAACCACATCCACTTCAGTAACACCATGTAGTGAGCATTTCAGCTTTTTAACTCCAGTGTTTATTTCAAATCTTAAGGGTTTTATTATAAAAATTTTTTTAAGTTTGGTAGCACATTTTGTACCCAAAATGTCAAACACTGTGCTGTAATTACGATTATTCATTTTTGTAGAAATGTCCACTTTTCAAATAATATAATGCCTACCATTATACTAACAGAATTGTATGGTAGTCGATTTATTTTTTTATTTATTATGTATATTTTTAGTATTATAGTTTCTTGAGGCAATGATTAAAAAAAGAACTGTTAATGTATTCTTATGCGAGTGCTCTACCAGCCTTTCCCCGTCCATTCCACCATCTTTAAACCATATACATTTTATTTAAGATAGGTGGTTTCTGTCTAGAGCAGTCTTGCCTTTATAAGCCTGCTCCCGTTTTTATTTTGTCAGCTAAGAAGGCTTTTGCTTAGAAAGTAGTGATTGGTTTTAAATATTACCTAATAGAAAAGTAGCCATTGGATAACTGCTTTAGACTAAGAATTAGAAACACTCTATTTGTGCCTTTTTCATTTTTTAATTTTGATGTGTATTGGTATTTGGAGCACAAATATGAAGGTGCCATAATATGGCGTACCAATGTTACCTCCTTAAACATTCATGTGTCACTGTCTTCAAATAGTAATTGGAGAACCTTGCATGAAACGTGGTCATTTGTGGGGGGGGTGTGTGTGTGTGTATGTGTGCATGTGTGTATATCTGTATTCATTTGGGCTTGTGTGTGGTATGTTCAAAAGAGTAGATTTATGAAAATAGGACTCAGTTAATGTTGAACATTCAGATTAGCTGAAATATTTTATTTAAATGTGCTTTAATTTGAGGGACAATTGACAAAAATTATAGTTCTCAAAAATGTGACTAATTTACTGCACGATGAAATGTAAAAACAGTGCCTTTTTAGGACATCAGTTATAATTGTTTTAAAATAGTAACAATCTCTTTATCATGAACATTCTTATTTTTAAATTATGTCTCAAATCTTAAATTTTCAAAAGCATAATATTTAATTTACCCATTTGAAATGTGTGTAAGTTTAAAATAAAAACAGGATTCTTTGTAAAATTGTGGATAAGGGCTAAGAGTACAGCTCTCGCATGCATGAGGCCCTGGGTTCATTCTGTAGCACTGCCGAAATACAAACAACAAAAAGATTCTGGATCATAAATATTACCCATTGTTACTAAAATGCAGCAGGGACTTTGGTAAGTTAAGTTTTTGAAAATCTAATTCAGCAAGCTTTGCTCACAGCCATGTACACAGAGGTGAACCAGTCTGACTGGACTTGCATGCTTTATGATGGATAAAATAGTCAATATATTCTTGAAAAAGGGGTGAATGGTTTTGTTGTAGTGTTCTAAGATTATAAAGACAGCACTTTCAGCACACAGAAGGGTATTTTGCAAACCTTTTTTTATACAGGTTATGAAATGCTCTACTTTATTTAAGTGTTCATGGAATGATACAAATTTTAGGTCCAGTTGAACAAATATTGAGTGCCTACCATATGCAAGACTTCTTCACTAGGAATGAGATCACGCAGTGTCTTCTGTTTGTAGTATGTGAACTTTATGTTTGAAAAGGAATTCTGATATTTAAATCTTTTTCTGTTGTTAGAGTTTATCATTATATACTGTAAACCATTTGATTTTGCTTTTTTAAAAATGAAGATATCATTTGAGTCCCATTTTTGAAAATAAAATTCTGCTAAAATTATTTAAATATTAGTTCTGAGGAAAGTTGACTTTCAGGATTCAAATGTGTACAAGATCACTGAACTTTTCAGCCTCATTTGTAATCAGTTGATGTTAATAAAGAGATACATGCTATTTGTATCTTGTTGCTGAAAATATTTTGCATTTCAGCACATTGAGTTAAAATAAAGTTGTTACTACTTATTCAGAACTAATTGGTTGGCTTTGTGTTTATTTGAAAATTGTACAGTCCTTTCTTTTTAGACTAGTATTGCTTTGCAAAAGAGATACATATTTGATAAGAAAATTTAAATTATGCATAGTAAATATCTTTTCTACATAGGGAAGCTAGCATCTTTTTGGAACCACTAAAACCTTTTTTAATTTATAAGATATTAAAACCTCTTTTAACTTGTAAGATATTTTACATACTTATCATTTGCATACCATCCATATTAAGTGACTTTCCAGTATCGTGCATTAATCTAACACTTAAAGATAACCTTTTTTGTTTCCAATCAATTTTAGTTATACCAGACAGCTTAACCCTTTGCTGCTATCAAAAAGCAGATTTGGGATAATATATTCATTAACCAGTTTAGTAATAGTTACACAGTTCCTGCTTAAAAGTTACAACCAGGGTGCCAGTAAGAAGGACGCAGTAAAAAAACCTTCCATATAACCAATACACTTCTACGCTTTCCCTAGGATCCTTTAAAAAAATATGTAAAAGCTGTTGTAAAACTTGAAAAATTATTCATGCAAATATGGTAGGCAAGTGATAGGTCATACTCTACACTTTACTAAACTCTTTCCCCATTGGGTTATGTTTCCTCCATCTACTACCTCAGAGTAATTTCTTTCTACGAGGAGGCCAAGAATGACATTTGCTTTTATCACTTTTTAAATAGAAGACCCATTAGTAGAAATCCCTGTTCTCCCCTCCCCTCCCCTCCGCTCCCCTTCGGTCTTTCTCCGGGAGGTCTGCCTACATCAGTGGATGGTGACAAAGAAAAGTAGGATTACTGGTGTGCTTCCTTTCCACTTCCCTCTCCCTTCTCTTACCCAACCCTCACCATTATTCTTTCAGATCAGGTGGGTGTAGTCTAATGCCACTGTCTGACACAATAGCCAAACAATTTCTCTTATCTAATCTTACCCTTTCCCTCAAATTTAAACCAGGCACAAACAAAGAGAAAAACTGTGGTATATATGAATAATTGCAGCACCAAAAAAGCAATCAGTGCCCTGCGGGCTCTGATTCTTAGATTTGCTGTGAAAAACCGGAAGATATTTTGAACGTATACTTTTTACATATATAAGACAGTGTGTTGCTGTATAGTTCAGGCTGGTGTCAAACTCATGCCATTCCTCCAGCCTCCTAAACGGATTATACATATGTATCACCACACCCACCTTCACATGTATGCTTTTTAAAGTGCCAAAAATTACGAAAGTCACTACAAAATTGTACAGTCAAATACGGAAAATAAAATCAACATGTAATTGAGAGAGTAGTAAAATCAGGTGCATTAAATTTGAGAAATACCAAAAATGATAAAGCAAACATTTGAATCAGCAGAAGACAAGGTTGAGATGTTCCCAAATCATAAGGACAAGAATAAATGAAAATAAACATGATCCAGTTTAATTTTACTCAGCTCATCAGTACACTAAGTGGAGTGCCTAGCACTGCGCGAAACTGGTTTTGGTGATGAAGGTAGAAGTAGCCCACATCCTTAAGAAGTTGGGTTTCTTGAAAGTGCAGTCGTTGTAACACTGGTAATTGCTGTGGTAGAAATACAAAAAAAAAACCTCCTCAGCGGTGGGTGTGGAAGTCCCAGAGAGCCTTCCTAGGAGAGTGACCCCTAAATTGAGACTGAGTAGGAATTAGCAGCTTAGTGCAGGTGTCATCTCACACGTGAAGTCCCAGACCAAAGCATTTGTGGGAATGCAAATGAACATGACTTTCCCAGTGTATAAAAGGAAGAGAAGACTTGGGTAAAACATTCTGCTAGGGGGGCTGGGGATTTAGCTCAGAGGCAAAGCGCCTGCCTGGCAAGCGCAAGGTCGTGAGTTCGGTTCCCGGTACCAGAGAAAAACCAAAAAAAAAAAAAAAACAAAACAAAACAAAACAAAAAAACCATTCTGCTAGGGTCATGGTTTACAGAGGATGAGTTGGGAACCAGTGTCTTCATAACTGATATTTCCAAAGAAGTATCTGGAATAGAGACAGTGATAATAAATATTAGAAAGTTTTTTTTTTTAAATTCATTTTGGAAATGAATATTCATAGTACCTAGACACATTCACGAACAGCTATCTAAACAAGACAGACTAATTTTTACATTAGAATGATAAATGATGTGAGCGTCCCAGCGTAAATTTAAAAGTTCTCTTTGTCTTTGAACTTTTTTCTAAGTAAAAATAATAATAAAAATGACCCAAGAACTCTTTAGTAATTTATAGTGATTAATTTCTAAAGTAAACAAATTAGAAATAGTTTTTAAATATCCAAAACATAGGGGATGCTAACAATTCATTAAAATTAATCCATGTTAAAGAAATTTAAAAGCATTACATGCGTATTAAACACTTGGAAGTAAAACCTGCAGTAACATTATTTACAAACAAATCCAAAGACAAAATGCCCATCTGTTTTGTTTTTCTTCCGGTACCAGGAATCGAACTCACGACGTTGCGCTTGCCAGGCAGGCACTGTGCCATTGAGCTAAATCCCCAGCCCCACAAAATGACCATCTGTTATACATGAAAAGGGAACTCAGCAAGAGGAGAAAGAAACCTAGAGTTGAAAAATAAAGAATGCAGAATGCTTTCCTTCCATAAATGGCAACGAAAAATTCGTACTGATTTTTAAATTCTTACGAAGATTTTTCAAATAGTTAACAAGCTTTATCCATTGGTACAAGTTTAAAATTCACAATATTTTCAGAAACACAAAA